TCTTCCCGCGCCGTTCGGGTCTTCAGGGCGGACTGTGAGAGGAGCCTAGCTCCCCTCCCCTCACGTTCGGCACGCTGCCCCCGCCTACACACATCCTGACAGCCACATCCGCAAGCCGGATTAAAAGGTCCGCGCGGACTTTTGGGGCTGCCAACCGAGAGGAGGCAGGGGAGCGGCCGACCGAGAGGAGGGAGGGGAGCAGGCGCCCGGCACACAGAAGAGCCGCATTAGACTGGGTAAAGAGCCGCATGTGGCTCGCGAGCCGCGGCTTGCCGACCACTGAATCATTAGATTCTAATGATTGGTCTATTTGTGAGCCGAAGCCACATGTTACAGATGAAATTGGAATTTTTCCCACGGCACACCAGACAATATCTCACGGCACACTAGTGTGCCGCGGCACAGTGGTTGAAAAACGCTGGCGTAGGACATTTTTGCTTTGTCCTGTGGGCCAAAAATCACACCTGAGCAATGCATGCGACTAGTTTCTTCATACAGGAGGCATCTAGCAGCTGTCATTACCAACAAAGGATTTTGTACAAAGTATTAAATACATTTCAGTTAGCATGTTCAGTATTTTGTGTTTACTATGCTTCAGAGAATGAACTCTGCATATTCAGTGCAGCGAGGGCTACATAAAAAAGGAATTGAAGAATCTGTGTCCTCACATCCTTTCTCTGTCTCCAATGTGAGATATCAGGGGTCTTTTTAGACCCCTGATATTTCACCCAAGTGTCTCCCACAGCGTTGTAAAAAAAAAAAAAAAAAAGTAAAAAAACAAAAATCATAAAAAATTAATTAATTAAACGTACGGACCATTGTTCAAATGTAACCCTACATTTAATTGCAGCTCTTGTAGTCTTCATACAGAACTGTGAGGTGCTCCCAATACACACACACACACAGCGCTCATATTTTTAGTCCTATTGTTGCTCAGTTTTTCATTGTGAGAGGTAACCAGGAGCTTTTATGCTGGAACACACTAAGCTTTGCATTCTGACTGACTGATAAAAAGTGGAAGAAACTAATTTGTATCACTGTAACTAGAAATCAAGGTGGGGGTGTTGATATAAAGACAAAATGCTTGAAATCACAGTTTTAAAACAGAGGATAAGGATTTTCAATTTAGCAATTTGACTGTAACTTTTTAAAACCTCATTGGATTTAGAACACTGCTATGCGATACCACTATGTGCCATCTTACAACTTTCCTGAGTCTGCTCCCTGCCATAAGGGGGTTTCTAGAGAGTTGGAAGCCCCTATCAGTTGTGACTCCTCAAAATGAGAAATCACCTTAATTGCTTCCTCTAAATACTATCAGGTTTTACTACAGTGCCACCTGCTGGTCAAGCCTGCTGTTGCAGCACAATGTGAAAATATGTGGAAGGGTTGGCTGTGTTTGGATACTCTTGGTCTGCACGGAAAAAACATACATGACATTATCTAAAAATGTGCACTATGATGGTTTTATTTCTAAACCTAGTTACTGTTCCTTGCTGAAAACCTGTAGTTGGTTGATAGGTATGCAGTACTTGCGGGATCACATAATATCAAGCAAGTAAAAATTTAAAAATTTTGTTGGTGCTAGAATTATTGCTCTCACTATGATGTTCGCGACGATACCTCACGTGGTGTGATCGCCGTTTATATATGCGTGCAGGACCAATGCAAGTGGTAGGTTTTTTAAAATCACGTTTATTGCTATAGCATGGGCAGTGACAGTTTTCTATTAGACCCCAGATCTCTCCTCTGTCCTTAAAAGCATCTGATCAAACCAAGATTGGCTTGATCATATGCTTTTATAAGCCAGTAACGGCTTTTTTACATACTAGTGAATTTGGAAGTGACAAAATAATTGTTGCTTCTGGTTTCTTATATCATAGAGATGATTCTAGGACATTCCAGTCCTCAATCATCTCTATGGTAAGCCAGCAGACCTGCCGGCTTCAGTCTTGGGCTCCACAGCGGGACAGGAGAGCCTGGGAAGGTGGAGGGAAAGAGGACCCCCCCTCCCACCAGCTGTAGGATCGATCCAGGGGCTCATCATCCTGGTAGAACCACTTCAACCTTGAGAAATAACAGTATGTGGTGGAGGCTGAAGTGGTGAAAAAAAATTAAAATTATATATATATATATATATATATATATATATATATATATATTTATCCATCTATTACAATAAACTGTGTACTTATTGAAGTAATACTGCAGTTCCCCATTAAAGAACCAGCAAGTTTAATATGCAGTAAGGCAAAACACTTTCCCAAATTATTGCTCACTAACACAATTTCCATAAAAAGGACATTTTTTTTTTTCTTTTAAGAAGTAAACTAACCCACCATTCATAGCTTTTTCATAACGCCCACCCCAGCTGCTCACTTACTTCAGGAAGTCAGCCATTGCTACGCTTCCAGCATCTTGCTGCATTTCATCCAATACTAGCCTGGAGATGTTTGGGAGACAGCTGTGTAGAAGTCGTCTATGATTACTATGTAGGTGTGTCAGTTTTGGGGAGAATGGCGGCTGAATGCTGCCTGCTTGAGTAAGCAGCTGTGGGCATTATCGTATATACACAATAAGAGCTTAGCCTTAGTATATTTTTTGAAAGCACTTTTTTCTTTAACCACTTGCCTACAGGGCACTTATACCCCCTTCCTGCCAAAGCCAATTTTCAGCTTTCAGCGCTGTCGCACTTTGAATGACAATTGCGCGATCATGCAACTCTGTACCCATATGAAATTTTTAGAATTTTTTTCATACAAATAGAGCTTTCTTTTGGTGGTATTCGCCACTGGGTGTTTTATTTTTTGTGCTGTAAAAAAAAAAAAAAAAAAAAAAAAAAAAGGCAAAAAAAAAGTTTTTGTTTCTATTATAAAATTATGCAAACAGGCAATTTTTCTCCTTCACTGACGTGCGTTGATGAGGCAGCACTGATATGCAACAATGATAGGCACTGAGAGGCAGCACTGACTGCCAGGACTGTTGGGCACTGATGGGTGGCACTACTAGGCACTGATGGGCACAGGTGGGTGGCACTGATAGGCACCGATCATGAATGGTGCCGATCCATCCTCTGACAATTGCTGGTTATCGGCAGTACTTTCCTCACGCTGTAACTTCTATAGTTGGGAAGATACTGGAGAGTTTAATAAAAGACCACATAGATGAGTTCTTGCTGGAAAAAAATATTTTAAAGCAACAGACAGCATGGATTCAGGAAAGACAGAAGTTGTCAAACAAATCTGATTTCTTTTTATGAGGTTAGCAAAACCTTGGACAGAGGGGTGGCGGTGGATGTGGTATACTTGGATTTTGCAAAAGCGTTTACACATTAGCCATGTGTGGGGAACTGTGTCAAAGTAAAGGCTACAGGCTTGGAAAAATCTGTATGTAATATGGATAGAAAACTGGCTAAAAGATCGTATTCAGAGTGTAGTGGTGAATGATTCATACTCGGAATGGTCTAGGGTTGTCAGTGGTGTACCCCAAGGTTCAGTGTTGGGACCCTTACGTTTTAATATATTTATAAATGATATAGGGTCTGGGATTATAAATCCCATTTCAGTCTTTGCAGATGACACCAAGCTGTGCAGTGGAATAACGTCCTTACAGGATGTATCCAATTTACAAGCCGACCTCAATGCACTGTTTAATTGGGCAACTATGTGGCAAATGAGGTTTAATGTTGATAAATGTAAGGTTCTGCACTTGGGGGCTAAGAATATGCATGCATCATACATACTAGGGGGTGTACAACTGGGGGAATCAATGGTGGAGAAGGATCTGGGGGTTCTAGTAGATCACAAGCTTAATAGTGGCATGCAATGCCAAGCTGCGGTTTCTAAAGCGAGCAAAATCCTCTCTTGTAGTAAAAGAGGTATAGACTCCAGAGAGAGAGATATCATATCACCCCGGTACAAATCATTAGTAAGACCTCATCTGGAATATGCAGTTCAGTTTTGGGCACCAATTCACAAAAAGAACATTGGGGAACTGGAGAAAGTGCAGAGAAGGGCAACCAAACTGATACGAGGCATGGAGGAGCTCAGCTATGAGGAAAGATTAGAGGAACTGAATTTATTCTCTCTTGAGAAGAGGAGATTAAGGGGGGATATGATCAACATATATAAATACATCAGTGGTTCATATAGTGAACTCGGTGTAGAGCTATTCACCCTGAGGTCATCACAGAGGACAAGGGGGCACTCTTTACGTCTGGAGGAAAAGAAATTTAATCTTCAAACACGGAAAGGTTTCTTCACAGTGAGAGCTGTGAAAATGTGGAATAGACTCCCTCAAGAGTTAGTTCTGGCCAGCTCAGTGGATAGCTTTAAAAAGGCCTGGATTCTTTCTTAGATACACAGAATATAACTGGATACTAACATTTATAGGTAAAGTTGATCCAGGGAATATCCGATTGCCTCTTAAAGGGATCAGGAAGGAATTTTTTTCCCAGCAGGAGCAAATTGGATCATGCTTTGCTAGGTTTTTTTTTTTGCCTTCCTCTGGATCAACTGTGGGTGTAGGATTATAACTTTTTTTTTCTCTATAGTTGAACTGGATGGACTTTTGTCTTTTTTCATCCAGACTAACTGTAACTATGTAACCGGCAACAGCATTTACCGGTGATCTGCTGTGTCGTTGGACACAGCTGATCACATGGTAAAAAACCGCTGCGATTGGCCTTTTACCACATCACATGATCAGCTGTGTCTCTAGGACACAGCGATCACGGGGATCGACGGGGGCGCATTCTGGGAGGATGTCAATATGATGCCTTCCAAGGATTGAACAACCGCGCTGTAGCTGTCATTTGGCTATAGTGCAGTTGGCAAGTGGTTAAAGTCTAACTTCACCTTTGGAACAGGCCAAATTTTAAGTCGTCTATGGACAGCTTTAGTACCTATCTGCATAGTGAAATCATATTAGGTGCTATGGGATATTACACCTGAGAACTACAACTCTTTGTTAAATAATGAACGAAAGTAAGTTTTGCTCACCATCCGCACAGCTCCACCTTTGCCACGATTCTTTACTAGTGTGAGCACCCGAACCTTATCACTTCCATACTTTTTAGAGTAGTTCAAGGCAACCTAAATGAAAAACAAAAAGAAGAAAAAAATACGAGTTCTGGAGTGTTTGATAGAATTCATTTTTCATTTCCATTCAGTAAAGGTACATACGTGTATTAATTGTGTAAATCTACACCTGCTCTTAACCAAACCACACTAGTTTTAATAAGACACAGTAGGATTTGTTCCTCAGACTTGGTCAGCTAGACCTGCTGTAATGTGTAGAAAATCAATTACCTTCTTTCCCATATGATAATACTAAATTGCAATTTATAATAAAATATTTTGGAAGTGCAGAGGTCTTTGAATGAGCACATAACTCCATGCAAAGGTAAGTAGTTTGGTGCCAGTCACATTAGAATATAAATGGGCCAATTTATGATTAGGTGAGAGTCAGCCATTTTGGTTACCTCTAAGGGCAAACCAGGGCCCTTAAAACTGTGAGAAGAATCAATTATTGCAAATGGGATCACAAGCATCAGGGACTCGGCTTTAATAAAACTAGTGGAGAGCAAATAAAACTATAATTGTATCAAAAAGCTACAGTATAATTTTTTTCCCACCAGGGTCATTTGTGCAGGTCACAGTTCTTTAATCATAGTGATTTGCTGTGTAGTTTTTTTTTGCAAAGTGTGTTCTCTCTTTGTGTAGAAGTGCTGAGAAACTAAAGGAAAGAGAAGACAAGCAGATGAAGAGTCAGAAGAGAAGTGCCAGAATGGACGGAAGCACAATAATGGAGGTGACATTAGAGAAGGTAAGGGGACCATGAAAGAAAAAAATAAAAAATTAGAGAAGCGTGAGAGTGGAGAGGGAAGTCATGCATACTCTTGGTGTACAGTGGAACGCATGGAACTATGCTTGGTGCTGACGACAGGAAATAGGAAAAATCAATGCATATATGCGCCAGCACACTATGATCATCAAATGTCCTTTAAAACCATTATTGCAAGAAGATCACATCACAAAGTATCAAGTGCAATGTTCTGGAGCCCCGCAGGACCCCTCCTACAGGCATATCATCACATGCCTGACAAAAAGGTCCTGCTTGACTCCAGAACATTGCACTTGATCCTTTGTGATGGCATACAAAACTTTTATAGCAAGAAGATCACATTTGGTGATCCATAGTGTGCTGGCGAATATATGCATTGATCTGTGACAAGTGCAGTTTGTAGCTGGTGAGCGCTGCAGTACTCGCTACTGACAAGCCCATATCTAGGAACGTGTGCGATGGGAATATTGACATAGTTTGGGACCTTAGATTGTAGGCTCCTTGAGAGTTAGGGATTGATGTGAATATACAAAATATGTAAAGTGCTGCGTAATTTGACGGTGCTATACAAAGTACCTGTAATAAATAAATAACCAGGAAACAGGAAGTGCCCCTCGCTTTTTATGTTATACAGGATAAAAATATGGTCTATAGCCCAATGTGATATATGTATACTCTTTTACCCAAACGTTTTGGTAAAATATAAAATGAGGAGGTTGTGCCGAGTAGATATCCAACATTTGAAACCTTAAATTTGTGTGTGCCTGTGAAATAGCTACAAACTTCAGTACCCTATATTTTCTATAGGGAATGCTTCAAAAGCCCCTATAGGTCACCAGTTTAGCATTACGGAGGAGGTCTTGTGCTAGAATTATTGCTCACTTCAGCATGTGCGGCGATATGTGTATCGCAATCAACATTTTCACGTGTAGGCTCCCTGTGTGCGTTTATGTTCGTAAATGCATATATGTGGAGGTGGACTCAATTTTTTTTTTTTTTTGGGGGGGGGGGGGGGGGGGCTGTTAGGTGCCCACTCTCGGCTGGCTCCCCCTTCTGGGATGCTTTAAGTCAATAATGTAGCAACTATATTGCCACCTAACAGGGATGCAGGTCTATAACTATGCAGGTACACCGGTATGTAGTTATGTATGGTATGACCCAAAGCACACATCAAAAAACACCCCAGAAATGGTTTAAGAAAGCACTTTTTTGTGTCATACCAATACAAACAAAAGAAATAAAACATGAGAATGCCTAAACATTTGTAATTGCAATGATTTTTTTTAGGCGAATTGGTGCATTATGACAGAAATGCAGGGGTGCCAATATTTTTGGCCATGACTGTACAATGGTACGCATTTATGCAGTTTAGTTTATGCAAGTGTACAGGTACTCAAGTACAAGTATGCATGTATGTATGCAGCTTGTGCAAATATGCATGTACGTATGATAAACCTGCATACGTACATGCATACTTTGCATAGACGTCATAATTACATGCATACTATGCAAGTAGGCATTTAAGTATGCAGTTTATGCAAGTATGCATTTACTGCAAGTATGCACGGACATATGCAGTCTATGCAAGTATAAATATGCACATACGCATGCAGTTTATGCATTCAAGTATGTACGCACGCAAGCAGTTTATGCAAATATACAGTTCATATAATTATACAGTATTCATGCATGCATGCATGCAATAATATAATACAATGCTGCAACTGCCCCACTTCCTAGAAGGTATGGTTTTCATAAAAAAAAAAAAAAAAAAAAAAAAAAAAAAAAAAAAAAACTACCCCGGGGTACATACTAGTTTCGCAGGACTAGTCAAGCACATATATACATCAAACTCAGCCTGAATGCAGCCTCTATGCCACTTAAGTGCAGACTAAATGTAAGCTCCTGCACATCAAATACGAGCTACTCTGGACACCCAACTCCTTTAAGTGCACTGATACCCATGCAAAGGTGTATCAGAAACAGTTGTACAAGACCCCCTGGATTATGCAGGCTAATGCAGTGTATAATCGTGTCCTGTCTGGTTATGCAGCTCCCCCACAGGTAATATTCTCACATAATCATCCACCCATAGACTGCTCTGTGTCTCTGCTATCTCCCCAGGAGCCTCGCTGATCCTTAAGCCCACATGTGACTTCCTGCCTCCACTGCACAAGAGTAGGCTATAAAGAGCAGCCCTATGGCCGTTAGTGGCTGGAGGAGAAAACTGCAGCACAATAGTTCAGAGACACACAGAACATGGCCTGGCCAGACCAAACAGCACACTGTCCCCAGTGGCCACCAGGAGAATGACCAGACAGAGATTTTCAAAGAAACACTGCAAATGTAAACCTAACATTCCCGCGGCAGGACTCTGAATCATAACAGGAGTCCAACCTTCACCCATCACTGCAGGCTCTGTCATAAAAGACCTTTAAGGACTCGGTCCCCCCTTACACCTGGGGTCTATCCCCTTGAGCCTGCATAGCACCCTGCTGGAAAGCACCTTGGTCAGAACAAACACTGCACAGGAGTCCATTACATAGGGTGCAGCGCCATACAGCAGCACTACAGGCAAACTTTGAGAATTCTTCTCTCCTATCGAAAGAGGCCCGGGTACCATCCATTTTAGCTAACAGCTTTTCAAATGGATCCAACTGAAGTCCTAGATTCTTGGCAGAACCGTTCCAGACCTCCTAGTTTGCTCCAAGAGCACATGCAACACATCAGTGACCATCTACATTACAGTGGCAAAAAAACCTGAGGTACTTCCTGTGTTAAGGGATTATAAAGGGGAGGACTTCCGGTTTGATTGATCTGCCAGTGTCCATTCACCTGCGGGTGGCATATAACCCACATAGTCATGAATAACCTGCTCTGTGAAATGCAGTGTATATAAAAAGTATTGTGCTTGAAATAAAAATACAGCTTATTCAGTAAAAAAACTAAACTTACTTAAAATCTTTTTTTCATTGCAAATGGAACAAGGACTGTATATGTTAAGAACATTTAAACTATACATGGGAACAGGTAACCACTCCCCTTTCCCTCAAAGCAACAAAAAAGCAAGAAACCATCAACATAAAAAAAAATAATACTTAGATTTGCCCCTTAGTGCAAAAAGCAGAGTTTATGGACAGAGAACCCTGGAGGGAAAAGTTACTTGCACTTTTATTGTGGTCCTAAATTTATTTCATAAAGAATATTTTATGGTCTTTAGTGCACCTCTGGCATGCAAATATGTGCTTTGTCATCCTTGTAGCATTTGGAAAAGAGTATTTCTTCTCACAACATCTGCAGACTGAAGCTTTGCGCTCAACAGAAATTGAACTGTGGAAATGTTTTCAGTCTCTAAATGTTGGTCTCACCATTTTAATGGGAGGAGAAAAAAAAAAAGAAAAAAAAAAAAAAAAAAAAAAAAAAAAATCACTGAGCAGACTATAGGTAAACATTATGCTGTGATTAACAGAAATCATTTAAAGATTATAAAGAAACTAATTTGTCAGACAAATTTACCCTCTTGCTTGTAAATTAAGGCTTGAGAGGACAGAATCTATTCATCTACTGTGTCCCAGCAAATCACCCAACTGTATGAGGTAAAAGATGGAGCCCACAAGCAAACTAAACTAAACTGAAGCCTTTCCCCTGCAGTACCCCTTGTAGCAGAAATGCATATTTCTCTTGCTTGAAAAGTGCATTGAAAAGTACAGTGTTACCTGGATTATATTCCAGGATTCACTTGTCTACAGCTAAACCAGTGTTTCTCAACTCCAGTCCTCATGGACCCCCAACAGGTCATGTTTTCAGGATTTCCATTATTTTGCACAGGTGATTTGATCAGTTTCACTGCCTTAGTAATTACCACAGCTGTTTCATCTGAGGGAAATCCTGAAAACATGACCTGTTGGGGGTCCATGAGGACTGGAGTTGAGAAACACTGAGCTAAACGAATATGCAATAACTTAAGACCTTTATATAAAGTCTGAAAAATCTTTCATTACGGTCCTCATGTTATAGAGTTTGAATACCATGTCATAGATATATTATTTAAGATTTAAAAATAACATTCCACGCACTTTTTTTTTTTTTTTTTTTTAAGATTTTCTAAAAAAACAAACAAAAATAAAACCAAAAAGTTGTTCTTCCCAATTTTTCAGGGTTTTTTTCCCCAGGCCTTCCCATCTCTGCCCCTGACACAGATATTTATTGCTTGCATAACCCAGATGTGTATTTCAGGAAACTATGACCACATTTTCAATGACGAAAAGCACACAGATGCAGATCCTTATTGTAATTGTTGCAATCAATGTACCTTGCAGAGGCAGTCACATATTCATAATCTGTGAATTACATAATGCAGAATCCTGAAGACCAAGCATATGCGGTATAAGCCAACTTTCCCCAAAATAGGTGTAATCTGTATATGAGCAGCTGTGTTTACAGCCCCCCCCCCCCCCCAGGCAAATGGGGGCATGTAGACGGATTAGGCTTCTACATAGCATACTGTTAGCGAGAGAGCAAATGCTTCTTTTTAGCCAGGGTGCACAAGGGGGAAAGTACATCTCAGGGTGACACTTTATAGGAGGCCTGTATTATAGAGCAAGGTGCAAAGTGCAGAAACCTCCTACCAACAATCAGCAATTCTCCTTCATTCTTCTGACAGCTGAGACACTGCGTAGGTTGGTATGGATACTGTATACAGTACATCAGCACTGCCATGGAAAAAAAAAAACTAAAGCATTCCAGCTGGGAAGTCCTCTTCATTGTGCCCTGACCATAGCTTCCAGCTTTAGAGAAAGATGGTCACACAACACACTTTAGAGCAGGTGGCTCTAGCTGGCTAGCAAATTCTACTGTAGGATGCAGCAGACAGGTTTAAGCTACAACCTTCCAAAATGTAAGAATTTGCATTTACATTTCAAAGTCTCCCAGTGTACAACTAGGACGATTTCTAATAGTTACATGCAGGTATCCACTGGCTCCTGCTTTCATACAGGTTGCTTGTTTGACATACCTACATAAACGACTGGGAGTACTAATGACAGTTCTTTCATCATTTTCAGAATATTTATACTGGGAAATGTTGCAAATACACTAAGATACAGGTCACTTTGCGTAAAACCGTATGTGTTTCCCTTCACAACCAGGGAACAAGAATAGCCCCACAATTGTTCAGATTTCCTTTTTTTTTCTGGTTACCTGTGTAGTTTTATCAGAACTTCCATCATCTACAACGATGACCTCATATTTGAACGACGGACGTTGCTTCTGTGTAGCAGAAATCCAAAAATTAAATGTTTGTAGGAAAAAAAAAATATATATATATTATATTTATATATTTCACACACACATACATATAAGTCCATTAAACCTATCGCCCTGTGTCTTCCACAGCTCTCACTGGTCCCTTACTCTGACCTTGTGTCACTTCATGGGACAGTGGAAACACAAGTTCATAAAGGAGGAACCAGGAAGAGCTGTGGGAGACACATGAGGATTGAAACTCCTGGAAGAATCAGTCTGCCAGCAGACTTGGGGGATCAGTTCTAGTGACTGAAGCAATGTTGAGCAATAGATACAAAAAAAGGCAAATATTTTCGGCTTTCTTTTACCTGTCAGGAGACTTAACCGCTTCCCTGCTGCCCTATAGCAGACAGACTGCTACAGGGCAGCAGGGATGCGCAAAATCATGCATATATACGCGATTTTGTATTTCCGGGTAGGGGGCGCGATCACTGTATTGGTGTCACTGGGGATGACAGTGACACCAAGTTAGCTCCCCCCACTGTCAGAATGCCCGCCGCAGTCCCACTATAAGTCGCTGATTGACACATTAGTAAAAAAAAAAAAAAAAAAAAAGAAAATCCAGTATATATACTGCCATTTGTAAAACACTAACTTTCACGGAAACCAATTTACACGTATTGGGATTATTTTTAAGCAAACACATAGCAGAAAACATTTTGGCCTAAATTTGATTTACATTTTTTTACTGAACATAAATTCAAAAATATTGTTTTTTTCCCTCAAAATTGTCTGTCTTTCTCTTTATAGTGCAAAAAAAAAAAAAAAAAAAATGGCACAGGCGATCAAATACCACCGAAACAAAGCTCAAATTGTGGGGAAAAAATAAAAAGGGACATAAAAATTTAATTTGGGTGGAGCGTTGCATGACCGCACAATTGTCAGTTAAAATAAACGCAGCACCATAATGCAGAAAATGGTTTGGTCAGGAAGGGAGGGGGTAAATCCTCAGGAGGGCAAGTGGTTGAATAATAATATATACATGCAGGGACAATTTTTTGTACTACAGGTTTAAGGTGTCTACAGACATTACAGAGTATTCTCCAAAACCAGCTGTTTTCAGATTTTCACTATTGCTTCCCCCTGTGGCACTCTACAGTGATTTCCCCTCCCCAGCTCCAAAGGCATACACATACAACTTCACCTGATGTTTATGCAGCGATTGTTTGGTAGCTATATTGTGGATGCATGGCTAACTCTAATACCTGAAAATGTCCGCCATTTGCACATTTCAAAAGGTGGCCATAAATGACCCCTTTTCTTCGATCAGCCAGGGCCAATAAAAAAAAAACAAAAAACAGCTTCCAACATGCACATGGTGGAATCCTCCCCACTGAGATATTGGAGATATTGGTGTTGATTTACTATAACTGGAAAGTGCAAAATCTGGTGCAGCTGTACATAGAAACCATTTTTTGTCAAAGCTTAATTGAACAAGCTGAAGTTAGAAACTGATTGGCTACCCTACATAGCTGCACCAGGTTTTGCACTCTCCAGTTTTAGTAAATCAACCACACTGTACTCTGACAGAAGGACTCATTCGCTGTCAGAATACACTGATCATCTGCTGAAGACAACATTCTCAAAATCGACAGAAGTTGATCGAACCGGCCATACATTCAGCTGGTCCTTGCTGAACTGCCCAAATTCAATCCACCTATTGCCAGTACATGACCCTCCCTTCCTGCAATAATGAGGCCAACCTACACCATGAATCATTCGATGAAAAAAAATGGCTGCTAAAGTTGTGCTTCCTCAGCCGATTCCCAGCTCACTGCATAAATTCGGCCATGCCAAATCTGTCTGAATCTGATGTCATCCCCACCCACCCATTGAAAGCGGGTGGAAATTAAGACCCAGAATCCAGCTGGCCAGAGATGTCAGCGGCTAGACAAGGTGCTCTAGAACACTGCATTGTTGGAGCCAAGGTGAGTATAGTTCTTTAAACGTAAACTTAATTGCTAAGCATCATGAAAATTTTAAAAAAAAAAAAAAATCCTGTTATACATGCCTGTCTCTTTTCAAGATATTCCAGTGCCTCATCCATCATAATTGGCACTGAAAGAAAGAAAAAAAAAATTCACATCGAAACATTTTCTAGGCACAACGTCACTAATTATATAGCAAGTATTACCATAGGTACTATGTACACCACATTGGGGTTGATTAAAAGCAAATAGGCTGTGCACTGCAGGTGCACTCGGAAGTACACTGCAAGTGCAGTTGCTCTAGACGTGAAGGGATCATGCAAGGAAAAAAAGAGAAAAAAAAAAAAAAAAAACCCCACAGCAATTTTGCTTGCACATGATTGGATACTAGAAATCAGCAGAACTTCCCCTCAGACCTAGAGCAACTGCACTTCCAACTGCACTTTGAGTGCACATGCAGTGCACAGCCTATTTGCCTTTAGTAAATCAACCCCATTGTGCTTCATGCATATAAAAAAAAAAAAAAAAAAAAAAAAAAAAAACACCACACACATACACACAAAAGTAATGTCATTGTTTTTTTCTTTATATCCACCTGGGAATACACACAGTATTTGATCTTAGTTGTCACATGCCAATTCAAACAGATACAGCACTAATTTCCAATGGCATAATGATTTAGAGCTCGGAATACAGCCCATTAACAATATTCTAGATAAAATGGATTTGTTTGATAAGGAAACCTAAGAGAATTGTGAGGAGGCAGTTTGTGATCTCCCTTTAAAAATATTTGTTGCCAGGCTGTGTCCAAACTCACTAGTGTAAATCAGACCAGGGACCTAGACAACGATAAAAAAAACTGATAGAACGTCTAATCCTTCCACACTATCCAAAATTAAAGAGTATCTAAATTCAAGAACAAAAATGTAATATAATATAGCCTATTAGTCACTAGATATGGCAGAAGCATTCATTTTCTTTTCTCAGGCTCATTATCTTCATTTCCACCAGTTAATCCTCCGAATAAACACTTCTTGTCTCTACATAAGCATTTACTGACTCCAATCTATGAACTAAGCCATATTGGTCACCCAGACTGGAATTCAAATAAACAGGTCTTCCCTTTTTATCACTATTACATAGAGATTGTTGGGATTAGTAGTTTACAGAAGGAAAAGAATATTGTCTGTACTTGCTTAAAATGTTCTTAGCCTGCAAAAAGAAAGCCAATGCACACTACACTAGATTGCCAAATGAATTGGAATATCCCTCCAAATAACTGGATTCAGGTTTTGCAATCACCTCCATGGACACAGGTGTATAAAATCAAGCACCTAGGCATGCACACTGCTTCTACAAACATTTGTGAAAGAATGGGTCGCTCTCAGGAGCTCAGTGAATTCAAGCGTGGTACCGTGATAGGTTGCCACCTGTGCAATAAGTCCATCCATGACATTTCCTTGCTACTAAATACGGTCCACTGTTAGTGGTATTATAACAAAGTGGAAGCTACTGGGAACAACAGCAACTCAGCCAAGAAATATTAGGTCACGTAAAAATGACAGAGGGGGGGTCAGTGCATGCTGAAGTGAAAAGCCGCCAACTGTCTTAGGAGTCAATAGCTCCAAACTTCGTCTGATCTTCAGATTAGCACAACAGTGTGTAGAGAGCTTCATGGAATGGGTTTCCGTGGCCGAGCAGCTGCATCCAAGCCTTACATCATCAAGTGCAATGTAAAGCATTGAATGCAGGAGTGTAAAGCACACCACCACTAGACTCTAGAGCAGTGGAGACGTGTTCTCTGGAATGACTAATCACGCTTCTCGGTCTGGCAATCCGATGGACATGTCTGGGTTTGGAAGCTGCCAGGAGTACTTGCCTGACTGCATTGTGTCAAGTGTAAAGTTTGGTGAAGGGGGAATTATAGTGTGGGGTCCATTTTCAAGGGTTGGGCTTGGTCCCTTAGTTCCAGAGAAGGGAACACTTAAGGCATCAGCATACCAATACATTTTGGACAATTTCATGCTCCCAACTTTGTGGGAACAGTTTGGGGATGGCCCCTTCCTGTTCCAACATGACAGCATACCAGTGTACAAAAGCAAGGTCCATAAAGACATGGATGAGTGAGTTTGGGGTGGAGAAACTTGACTGGCCTGCACAAAGTCCTGACCTCAACTCGATAGAACACCTTTGGGATGAATTAGAGCGGAGACTGGGAGCCAGGCATTCTCATCCGACATCAGTGCCTGACCTCATAAATGCACTTCTGGAAGATGGTCAAACATCCATAGACACACTCCTAAACCTTGTGGACAGCCTTCCCAGGAGAGTTGAAGCTGTTATAGTTGCAAAGGGTGGGCCAACTCCATACTGAACCCTACGGACTAAGACTGGGATGCCATTAAAGTTCATGTGTGTATAAAGGCAGACGTCCCAATACTTTTGGCAATATAGCATATATCTAAGGGCTGGTAAGCTGCAATATACAGTACAGTCCACATGAGGTTAAATTGAAAATAGAACCGAAGCTCTTAACACTGTAGTAGAAGCTTCAATTGCCCAATAATATTATTTTCCCAGGACTAGCTGCAAATCCATGCAACATGCTGCACACAAGTATTGCTCTGTGAGAGACTGTCTGGGTCTGTAAATCCATTTGACATGTTAGCAGTATGGCACACCAATCAGCAAAGCTTTCTATCTTCTGATTGGTGCACTGTAATGCTGACATGTTGGTCTGCTGTACAGACCCATGTCATCTCACACAGGGAGTGGCAACCACTAAATGGGGAAAATTCACTGTGACTAATGGTTCCTATGTTGACTGGAAAACATTACATGGACAAAAGGTCTCATTACCTTATAGACATACAACTACTATTTATGAGTTTCTCTGGCCTGAGCTGGCTTCCTCAAAAAGAAAGGGTGACCGCATACGTAGAAGAAAATACACATCACACTGTAATGCTTGCCTTTCCAGGCAAGTCCGAGTTCACAGTGTTTCAGTGCAAACTAATCTTTATGGTTTACATGGCTGGTTTTGCACCTTAGTCCGTTTAGGTTAATAGAGTAACTGGGTTTAAATGCATTAAGAGGCACCTAAGGCAAAACGGTTTATATTACACATTGCATCTAAAAATCGAACTATATGACTTCTAATTGGTTTCAGTAGGGCACGTGACTCCTTAAAAGGAATGTAAAGTTGTTTTAATAATTTTTTCTATATTTATAATAGTGAGGAGACAAAAAAAAACAAAAAAAAAAAAAACAAGCATACATTTCATTAGAACAATATGAAATGATGCACATGAATATAATGTAGTCATATCTGCAGTAGGTGGAGCGCTAGGCTCCATTCTGCATGCTTTTTAGCTTCTGCTTACTACTGTATAAAAAGTCTGTTTACAGAGATCAAAAGCTCAAGCTGAAATTTACACGACTGAATCAGGGTTGTGATCATCCCCTTCTTTCCCCACCCCAGGTTTCAACAAGAGACTGACTCAAAAGAGATCACTACTGCTCTGCAAGGCTATATACTGTATTTTTTTTAGTCAGCAATTTCGGCTACCATTTTGCTATCCTGACAAACTCCCTTTAAGGCTAGGCTCACACATTGCTATTGATGTTTAGTTTGCTAAAAGCACATCAACATGCACTGCAATACGCAGTCCACTCAAAATAATGGACAGTCACATAGCTCAGTGCTCCAGGAATCAGACTTGCACTTTTTTTTTTTTTTTACCAGTGCTTAACAGTATAGTGCATTGCCCCGTGGTGCAATGCGCTGTGATACACTTCTGTCAACAAGGTATGTTGGGGTGCCATACCCCACCATGTAACGCGTATATTTCCACAACCCAACAGTGTGAACAGTATCTCAAGCTATTTCATCTGTGTCTTTTGCCTGTTAAGCGGGCAATAAATCCGCAACATCAAGCTTTTGAATCATTTATACTTTAAATGATAGGATCAGTTCTCCGGTCACGTTCAGCAGTGTTTAGATTTCATCCCACTTACACCGGGTTTCTTCATTATACGCAGGAACAACCACAGACAAGTCTTTCTCCGGAGGGTCATGGATGCTGGGAAAAGGTTCTTTTTCTCCTTTGTTTCCAATGAAGAACTTTTCTGCATCATGTCGATGCAGATTTGGCATTTTCTTGGCAGTCACATGTGCTACAACTGCAACCTAGGAATGAAAGAATGGTCACATGTTACAATGTACTCCAATGGCAGAGTTTGTTTAAAGAGACTATTGCACCACTTCAGATATCCACTGTGTGGAGAAACTGTGCCATTCTACTGCGGAGTGATATTCTCCCACCTCTGTATTAGAGTGGTTATGGGATCAGATGCACGACAAAATAAATGAAAAAAGTTATTTAAAAAAGGTAATAAATAGCTGGCCCCACCCTGTATTCACAGCTTCACAAGCATGTGTCCTGTAGAACAAGTCTATCAAGTGTCAGCCATGTCAAATTGTGAGCTCTTGCACACCTCTATTTAAAACGGATATTTTATTTGCGTCACCCAACACCCTAAACTCTGCACGAGCCTCACCTTAAGAGATTATTATACTATGTTGTCTGTCACCTCCCACAAAACTGTAAAGGTGTCATTCTGCCGCGGCTGGCTTTTTAAATCTGTTTAATCTGAATTATGTTTTATGTTGAAGCATTTAGTAGAATTGGGAATACAGGACTTCTCCAGTGGATGCAACAAAACTAGGATTTTACTAGAGTTGATTGTAACTGCAGGCATACTAAAAAATACAGTTATAAAAAGGTGCAACTTCTATAGAGGGTGTCTGCTGTTAGCTTTCAGGTGTATTGCTTGTAAGAAACTCTGTTCCATTATGCAAAGTTTTGAAGAAAAAAACAAAAACTTGCCCGAGACATGATACTGCTCCTTTATAGTCATGACACCAACCAGCCATTATACCAAAAATACTTTAGTTTACTTACCCGTGATCAGCATATTGCCATTATTAGGAGTAAGAAGACCGACTGCAGCAGCTCACAATGAAAACTGAAGCTGCAATTCCACAAAACCCAAGATTATACACTTTTATTGGATTTTTAGGAAAATGTTAGAACTGACATGTAAAAAAAAAAAAAAAATCTGAAAACAAAGAAATAAATCCAAAATTGTTGGCCACTTAAAGTGGTTCTAAGGTCTATTTTTACGCTAATGCATTCCCTGCAAGGTAATGTCATAATGTGCACTGCATACCAGCACATTACGTAGGACTTACCTTAGAATACAGCCCTCCAGCAGCATGCTGTCACCGCTGCAGAGGCTTCCATCTTCACCTGGTCTTCCTTCCATGTTTGCGAGCGCTGGCCGTCTGACAGGTCAGGCTGTGAAGACGTAGCTCCTGCGCATGCGCACGGCAGTCCCGGGCCATGGCACAGTACTCTGAAGGAACCGCACAGGTTTGCCGTTCCTTCAGAGTGCATGCGCCAGCTGCAAAGAGGAGAGAATACCTCCTAAACGGTACATGTTTTAGGACATATTAATGTTACCTTATTTATTAGAAGCTTACTTGTAGGTAAAGGTTAAAAATAAAGAGTTTATACTGCTTTAAAAACGCCACAGCCCGAGTATTGTTGCTGACCATGCCCATCCCTTTATGACTACAGTACCCATCTTCTGATGGCTACTTCCAGCAGGATAATGCACCATGTCATATGACTCCAGTGTCCCCATCTTCTGATGGCTACTTCCAGCAGGACAATGCACCATGTCATATGACTCCAGTGTCCCCATCTTCTGATGGCTCCTTCCAGCAGGATAATGCACCATGTCATATGACTCCAGTGTCCCCATCTTCTGATGGCTACTTCCAGCAGGACAATGCACCATGTCATATGACTCCAGTGTCCCCATCTTCTGATGGCTCCTTCCAGCAGGATAATGCACCATGTCATATGACTCCAGTGTCCCCATCTTCTGATGGCTACTTCCAGCAGGATAATGCACCATGTCATATGACTCCAGTGTCCCCATCTTCTGATGGCTCCTTCCAGCAGGATAATGCACCATGTCATATGACTCCAGTGTCCCCATCTTCTGATGGCTACTTCCAGCAGGATAATGCACCATGTCATATGACTCCAGTGTCCCCATCTTCTGATGGCTACTTCCAGCAGGATAATGCACCATGTCATATGACTCCAGTGTCCCCATCTTCTGATGGCTACTTCCAGCAGGATAATGCACCATGTCATATGACTCCAGTGTCCCCATCTTCTGATGGCTACTTCCAGCAGGATAATGCACCATGTCATATGACTTCAGTGTCCCCATCTTCTGATGGCTACTTCCAGCAGGATAATGCACCATGTCACAAAGCTCAAATCATCTCAAACTGCTTTCTTGAACATAAAAATTAGTTCACTGTATTCCAATTGCCTCCTCAGTCACCAGATCACAATCCAATAGACCACCTTTGGGATGTGGTGGAACAGGAGATTCGTATCATGGATGTGCAGCCCACAAATCTGCAGCAACTGCGTGATGCTATCTTGTCAATATGGAAATCTCGGAGGAATGTTTCCAACATCTTGTTGAATCTATGCCACGAAGAATTAAGGCAGTTCTGAAGGGAAAAGGGGGGTCCAACCTGGTAATAGCAAGGTGTCCCTAATAAAGTGGCCGGTGAGTGTATACACACACGCAACTTTTCAAGTAGCAAACTGTGCACTACAAATATCAGACATATCATAAATCAATGCCATATTGTGGCTGTGACACTTGTGTTGGTTATCTACCCTTTAATGACTAATATGATGCTATAACACTGTATGCAGAGCACACCTTTACTTAAGCATTCGTTCACCTTTCTGAAAAAAAAAAAAAAAAAAAAAAGAGAAAGTGGCTGAAACTCTACACTCTTCTTGGTGCCCTGGTGATGCTTGGCATTGACTAACCAGAACTGCTTGGATTCGTCACAGCATCCCTAGGGAAAGAAGGATAGTGCAGTTTGCAAACCCTGGGAGCACTTACATGCTGCTTTTTACCTAAAGTACCCATACAGGGATGTTGAATTTCTATCACCTGACACCCGGGACATGTAGTTACAGGCACCAGGCAGGTAGTTTTGTTTTACATTTAGCCCTGCTGTGGGCAAGCAGCAGGGCTCACCTGTCAGGTGGAAGCATTCGGGCAGCAGCGCGAATGCTTGCACACAATGCAGTGAACCTCCCCCTGCCCACTGTCTCCCAGACTCTGCTTGCCCATCTGCAGGCCAGTTTTCCACCGTTGGCTAGAGGGGAGGGAGGAGAGTGGGCACGTCCCCTCCTTGTCCTGACCCGGAAGTGAAGTTATGATGTCACTTCCAGGTCCCTGTTGAGAGCGGGAAAGAAAGTAATGCAGTGCGATGTTCACTGCATTACATTCAGTGGAGCACAGGGGGGACATCCAGGGTCTTTTAGACCTTGGATGTCTCAATAAAAAGAACCCGTCACCAAAAATGATCACATAGAGGACTTTGTCCCCTATGTGATGAAAAAACAAAACATGAAACCGTCAATTGTGATACACGTCACATATTGTCGCACACGCAAGAGTGAGAGCAATAATTTTGCTCCTCCTCCGTAACACTATATTGATGACTTATAAAGGGCTTTAAAATTGTTGCCTATAGAAAACATAGGGTACTGAAGTCGCCATTTCACGAGCGCATACAAAGTTAAGCTTTGAAAAGTTGGATATCTGTTTACTTGATACAACCTCATCTTTTATATTTTACAAAAAAAAGGTAATTTACTGCTTTTTTGTGTCCCAAAATTAACTTACTTGTATTTTGAACTGAAATTTTGTGGTAATATCATGTGACATAAAAAAAATTGGAACTACAACTATTTTATTCTCTAGGGTCTCCGATTTCAGAAAACATATCATATTTGGGGGTTTGTGCAATCTTCAGGCATAAAATGATTTTTTTTAAACGTGCGCAAAATATGCAAAAATGGCTCTGGCAGCGAAAGGGATAAAATATAAGCCCTGACCAACCCTTTCCTGACGAACAGCCAATCGGTGCTGATTACATTGCAAGGTCTCTCTCCTCCCTGCTAGTCCTTGAGTGCGGTGCTGGAGACAGGCACGGAGGGGAGGAGGAGATAAACAGCGCAATGTTAAAATTATTACACGTTTAAGTCGCCATAAAACCCCTTTTGTCTTTAAAACATTCCTAAAATCACCTCTGATTTAAATATGGTTTTGCTTAACCATTAGCCGCCCGGCCAATAGCCGTTTGGCGGCTTGAAAAGCGCTGCAGCTTTCCGGGTCCACGCCATTTGGCGTGCTCCCGCACATGCGCCGTTTGCGCTATTGCAGAGCGGCGCAGCAGCGGGATCTGTCACCGCCCGTGCACCTCGGACACGGCCGATGACAGATCCGAGTACCGGCTCCCGTTGCCGGTACCATGTGACCTGCCGCGACCAATCACAGCAGGTCACATGACAGTTGTATACAATGGATGGCTTCATTCATGATGCCATCCATTGTATACTAGTGCCTAGCTGTGAATGGTCACAGCTAATCACATGCACATGTCATGTGATTAGCTGTGACCAAATCACAGCTAAGCACAAAAAAAAAAAAAAAAAAAAAAAAAAAAGCTGAATGAATCGATTTCATTCAGCTAAATGCTTGCTTATAGCAAAGTAATTCTTTGCTATAAGCAAATTGTGTAAAAAAAAAAAAAAAAAAAAAAAATACTGATCACTTCCCCAAAGTAGTACAATGTTACTATGGTAACATTGTACTATTTTGGTCATAGTAAAATATGAAAAAAAATCTTAAAAAAAAATAAAAAAAAATGTAATAAAAAATTAAATATAATAAAAAAATAAAAAAAAATTAAAAAAATATATAATTTTTTTTTTTTTCATACTGTCACCAGTCAGTGTCCCTGTTCACCGCCATGCAGTTATATGATGACGCTGTACTGCACTGGTGACAGTATGTAAAAAAAAAAATAGTGAAAATAATATTTTTCATTTTTTCATTTTCGGAAAAATTATGACAAAAAAATACAACTTCAAAAAAACTCGCCATGCCTCTTATGAAGTACGTCCGACTGTCTACTCAGCAAAAAGGGGTCATTTGGGGATATCTGTACTATTCTGACATTCTTGGACCTCAAGAAATTAGATTGGCTGTCAGTACTTCAGGATTGATCAATATTCAGATCTATACCATAGTTTGTGAACTCTATAACTTTCCTACAAACTAAATAATACATCCTAATTTGGGTTATTTTCACCAAAGACATGTAGCAGAATACATCTCGGCCTAAATTTATGAAGAACAATTATTTATTTGTAAACTTTTATAACAGAAAACAAAGAAAAATGTGTTTTTTTTTCAAAATTTTTGGTCTTTTTTTTGTTAATTTAGCAAAAAATAAAAACCCCAGCGGTGATTAAATACCACCAAAAGAAAGCTCTAGTTGTGTGAAGAAAATGATAAAATTTTAGTTTGGGTACAATGTTGTATGACTGCGCAATTGTCATTCAAAGTGTGAGAGCGCTGAAACCTGAAAAATGGCCTGGGCAGGAAGGTGTAAAATTGCACGGTATTGAAACGGTTAAAAAAAAAAAAAAATGTTTTTTAATCTGGACAAGTAGATTGTCATGAGGGACAAGCAGATTGGGACACCAATTTAGTCCCTGGACAAGTTTCAAAAATGTCCTCACCCCTGCCATAATTAACCATCTCCCTCACTCCTGCAGGCTCCTTCTTCCTTGAACTAGAAGCAATGACCGCTAAGTCCCCGGTCACACTGGATGCGAATTGGCATGCAATTTGCAAATCGCATACCAAGTCGCACCTTATTGTCCGCAATTACAGCAGTCATATTGGTGCGGTTCCGACTTGATCGAAGCCGCACTGATTTCTAAAGTAGTACATGTACTACTTTTGGTGTGATGTGCATAGACATCTGTGTCAGATGTCTTGCAAATGGCACCTGAAATCGGCATGTCATCCGACTTCTAAATCGTGCAACTTCAAAGTCAGGGTTTGATGTGACGGGGGGGGGGTAAAAGGCTACTTTCACACTGCTGGGAAAACAAAGAAACACAGCACCTCTAAGTGTGTACTGTGAAGGTATTTAATAGAAAGATAAGTAGTAACTCACATCTTAGAATTTAAAAACAGGCTCATGGGTAAGAGGGTGAGACGTCTGTAGCCAGATGTTGTTGTGTGTCTGATCCAGAGAGGAGATCGATTGAGTCCGTCAGCAGGTGGTGCTGTGCATGTGCAACATGGATGGTAAGCCTGGTGGAATCTCCAAGGTGTCTGCCAGCAGATGGTGCCATGCATATGCAGCATGGATGGTGGAGCCTGGCAGAGTCTCCAAGATGTCCGGGATCAGCACATGTGGCATCTGACGTCATCAAAATGCGACGCGTTTCTGATGAAAGAGAGCGCCTGGATGAGATGAGTCCAGGCACACTCTTTCATCAGGCATGGGCTCCACCATCCATGCTGCATATGCACGGCACCATCTGCTGGCAGACACCTTGGAGATTCCACCAGGCTTACCATCCATGTTGTACATGCACAGCACCACCTGCTGATGGACTCAATCGATCTCCTCTCTGGATCAGACACACAACAACATCTGACTACAGACGTCTCACCCTCTTACCCATGAGCCTGTTTTTAAAATTCTAAGATGTGAGTTACTACTTATCTTTCTATGAAATACCTTCACAGTACACACTTGGAGGCGCTGTGTTTCTTTCTTTTCCCTTCTGCAGAGTTATACTTCGCTCCTACGCAGCTTGCCCTTAGTGCCTACTGGACTACCTTCACTCCTGCCCATTTGGAACTCATCAAACATACATGGACTGCCACACCATGCGCCTGTTTTCCCTTTTGTATTTACTTTCGCACTGCTCCCTTTCAAAAACAAGGTAAAACAACATATATGCATTTTTACTACACTTCTGCTGTATTTTGTCCCTGTGAAACAAACCCCCCCCCCCCCCCCCCCCCCCCCCCCCCCCCCACCCCCCCCCCCCCCCCCCCCCCACGTGTCTCAAAAACACAACCACGGGTGTATTTTTGGGGTGTTATTCATTTTTCAATAGGGATGTGGATTTTTGGTGGGAAAAACAGAGCCCAATGAAAGTGGCCTAAGTCACTGTGCTGCCCCCACCACCTGACAAGTCAGCACAGCCATTGTACTCTGAGGAATGTCCCCACAATGAGGAGGTGAGAGGGGTGATGGATGACTGGTCACCCTAGAAGAGTCCACAACAAACCTACACAGCTGTCCCCTGTAATCAGGAACATCTGGGACATATACAGGACATTCCTGCCAACACAGACTGTATCACAGAGATACACACCGGGCAGGATGGACTCCCAGCACCTCTACTCACCAGCAGCAGCACTACAGCCCCCAGAGCAGCCAGCAGCAGAAGCAGATCACACAGGCAGCAGAGGAGCATGATGTCCACACCATCCCTGTCCCAGCACACAGAGCACAGCTGCCTGCAGGACACAGCACACTTCCGGTACAGTTCACACTCATCTGCCGGAACCTATAGAACTCCTACACCTATGCGGAAGTCAGCCAGTCCGCACTCCCCCGCCATAATCGGCGACAAGAGAGAACCTTCACCACCACTCGTCTCTCACACAGTTCGACCAGCGCCATCGTGTGACAGTATTAGGTATAAAAAAAAGGCTTGAAACTGCTCAGATTGACTTTTTTTTTGAGGGGGGGGGTGACGTTCATTCAAGTGACATTGTACAAGAAAGAGGATAGTAATAAAGGAAATACAGTGTGTGATGTTCACATATTTTGTAAATAATAATAATATATATTATTATTAATGTTATTATTATTACTATTATTATCAATAATAATGTATTATTTATTATTATTATTATTAATAATACTGTTGTTGTTATTATTATTAATATTAATGTTGTTATTATTACTATTAGTATTATTAATGGTAATTATTATTACTATTATTAGTATTATTAATGTTATTATTATTATTATTATTATTAATAATAATGTTGTTATTATTATTACTATTATTAGTATTATTAATGTTGTTATTATTATTAATGTTGTTGTTATTATTAGTATTATTAATGTTATTATTATTATTATTAATAATAATAATAATAATAATGTTGTTATTTATTATTATTACTATTATTAATGTTGTTATTATTATTAATGTTATTATTATTACTATTATTAGTATTATTAATGTTATTATTATTATTATTAATAATAAATGTTGTTATTATTATTTCTAGATCTGCAGCATTGTTATGTAGAATGATGTGAAGGGATAGAATTAAGCATAGATCCCAGCATATTTATTATTTCCCTCCAGAGGATTTACCCCCCCTTTCTGACCAGGCCATTTTTTGCGTTACGGCGCTGCGTTACTTTGATTGACAATTGCACAGTCATGCAACGCCGCACCCAAATTAAATTTACGTCTTTTTCCCCCCCACAAATAGAGCTTATTTTTGGTGGTATTTGATCGCCTGTGCAGTTTTTATTTTTTGTGCTATAAACAAAAAAAAAGACCAAACATTTTGAGAAAAAAACAATATTTTTGACTTTTTGCAACATTTTTAAACATGTCCAATTAAAAAATTTTAAAAATCAAATTTTGTCATAAATTTAGGGCAAAATGTATTCTGCTACATGTCTTTGCTAAACAAAATATTAATAGGTGTAAATTAATTAGTTTATGTGAAAGTTATAGCATTTACAAATGGCGGTATATATACTGGAATTTTTTTTTATACTAGTAATGGCAGAAATAAGCAAGTTATAGCGGGACTGCAAGACTGCGGCAGGCATTCTGACACTGGAGGGAACTGACTTGGTGTCACTGACATCCCCAGTGACACCAATACAGTGATCAATGCTAATGAAAAGCACTGACACTGTAGTAATGGCACTGGGCAGGAAGGGGTTAACATCTGGGGTGATCAAAGGGTTAACTGTGTGCTGTGTGTGTGCTTTATACTGTAAGCACACTGCTTAGTATGGCTCTGCTATGCAGAGCCATACAAAGCAGTGTGCAGGAGCTGATAGGGGAGAGAACTGTATTGTTTTTATTGTTGGTAATACTCGGCGATCACCGGGTGCCGGTGAGTAATCACTGGCCTGGGACTCGTGATTGATAGCCGAGGCTGCGGACAGCGTCGTGGGTAGGGCGCACGAGATGCGTGCGACCCCTACCCGGAGCTGAAAAATCACATATATATGCATGATTTTGCGTACCCCTGCTGCCCTGTAGCAGTATTTCTGTTATAGGGCGGAGGGGAAGTGGTTTTAAAGAGGAGTTCTGGTCATTGTGAAAAAATATTAAAAGTCAGTCGCTACAAATACTTTAGCTGCTGACTTTTATTTAAAAACACCTAACAGTCCAGGGATCCAGCACTGTCATCGCCTGAGCCAATTCTTTACCGCTCTTTGGGTCCCTGGGCCCGCCATGTTGCTTGTGGGAATTCAGCTGTGACTTCCTGTGGCTGCCCACTGTGCGTGTTGCACTGCACTTTCTGAATAGATCCGCAGTCTCCCGGGACAGGTGACGTTTCCCAGGAGGTTGCAGGCGAAATTCCACTCAGCTCACCTAGGTGATTCCAGCAAAAGTGTGAGTGGGTTCCTGTCATATCTAGGTACTCCTCTCTGACAAAAAAAACAAAACAATAATGAGAAAGGAAGTGGGGAGAAGAATGAGTGGAACTTCCCTTTTTATGTGAAGTTCTGCATTCATTTCTAGATTTGCAGCATTGGTATATATAGAAAGATATGAAGGAATAGACCTGAGATCCCAACATATTTACTACAACTATAATAATTATTATTATTGTTATATTATTTCTAGATGTTCAACATTGTTATATGTAGAAAGATACAAAGGGATAGAACCGAGATCCCAGCAAATCTATTATGGTTATCATTATTATTTTTAATACTATTGTCATATTAATTTCTACATTTGCAGCATTGTTATATGTAAAAAGATATGAAGGGATAGAATTTAGATCCTGGAATATTTATTATTATTATAATTCATTTCTAGATGTTCAACAGAAAGATACGGAGGGATAGAACTGGACGGGCGGGAGTTCTCTTGTTCTAGGAGGACGTCATATGACATCCTCACACTCTAGCCACACATGCTGCTGCTGTGATTGGTGGTGAGCGGTATCCCTAGGACACAGCAAATCACTGGTCATGGTAAAGAGCCGGTGATATAGGCTCTTTACCATGTGATCAGCTGTGTCCAATCCCAGTTGATCACATGTAAACAGGAGAGGTGATAAGCTTCAATCTTCAGAGGAGACATCTACACTTAATAAACACGACACTGATCATCAGTGCCCTCATTATCAGTGCAGCCCTATCAGTGCCTGCTCTTCAGTGCAGTCTATCAGTGTTCATCACTGCCGCCTATCAGCGCCCATCACGCCTATCAGTGCCACATATCAGTGCCCATCAGTGATGCCTATCAATGCCGCCTATCAGTGCCTCCTCATCAGTGCCATTTATTAGTACCCATCAGTGCCACCCATCAGTACCTATCAGTGCCCATCTGTGCTGCCTACCAGTGCCACCTATCAGTGCCCATCAGTGCCACCTATCAGTGCCCATCAGTGATGCCTAACAGTGCCCATCATTGCCACCTATAAGTTCCCATCAGTGATGCCTATCAGTGCCCATCATTGCCACCTATCATTATCCATCAGTGATGCCTATCAGTGCCCATCATTGCCAAATATCAGTGACCATCAGTGATGCCTATCAGTGCCCATCATTGCCACCTATCAGTGCCAATCAGTGATGCCTGACAGTGCCCATCAGTGCTGTCTATCACCGTAGCCTCATCAGCACACATCAGTGAAGGAGAAAAATTACTTCTTGAAAAAATTTGATAACAGAAACTAAGAATAGCTTTTTTTTCAATGTGTGTGTTTTTTTTGTTTTGTTTTAGTAAAGAATTTAAAAAACCACCAACAGAAAGCTCTGTCTCACAAAATTGTAAAAATGCCATATGGGTGAAGTGTTGTCATACGGTTGCAGCGTTGTCATACGGGGGCAGCGTTGTCATACGGGTGCAGCGTTGTCATACGGGGGCAGCGTTGCCATACGGGGGCAGCGTTGCCATACGGGGGCAGCGTTGCCATACGGGGGCAGCGTTGTCATACGGTTGCAGCGTTGTCATACGGGGGCAGCGTTGCCATACGTAGGCAGCGTTGTCATACGGTTGCAGCGTTGTCATACGGGTGCGGTGTTGTCATACGGGTGCAGTGTTGCCATATGGGTAGTGTTGCATGACCGTGCAATTGTCATTCAGAGTATGACAGTGCTGAAAGCTGAAAATTGGCCTGGGCAGGAAGGGAGTAGAATTGTCTGGCACTGAAATGGTTAAAACAAGCAGCATTCTCAGGTGGGGAGGTCAGCAATGGTCTCCTCTTGGACACGTGACAGATTTGTATGATCGGGTTTGTTATGGAGGACTCCCGGAAGTGGAGGCTATGTGGTACACAGAGAGCGGAATGCCATGGCATGGAAATCATTCACAGTTTCCACAACCTCCATTCTTACAAGAAGCTCGGCCAGGCACCGTGCGGTGTGAGCGCCGCGCTGTTCCTGGTGTGTCCAGCAGGGGGAGCTCGGCGTGGAACGGGCTGTGTGTACATGTGTTTCGGCGGCACGTGTGACTTCCTCTCATCGGTGCGGAACTGCGGACATCGCCGCATACTGTCCGAACCGGTCCTGACCCGGCACATGGTGGAGGGAGATGGCGGCCGGATTCAAGTGAGTATGAAACGGAGCAACCACCGCCATCAGTGACACCGTGTCCGGGCTCTGAGCTCATACTTGTGATTGGTGGAAGCGGGGACCACTAGTGGAACCGGGGAGACCCGTCCTTGGAACTCATCCCCCAATCATGATGCGGGAGATGGCCCATTAGTGGAACGAAGGACACCAGGGGTGACCCGTGATTGGAACTCATCCCCCAATCATGAAGCGGGGAGATGGCCCATTAGTGGAACGAAGGACACCAGGGGTGACCCGTGATTGGAACTCATCCCCCAATCATGATGCGGGAGATGGCCCATTAGTGGAACGAAGGACACCAGGGGTGACCCGTGATTGGAACTCATCCCCCAATCATGAAGCGGGGAGATGGCCCATTAGTGGAACGAAGGACACCAGGGGTGACCCGTGATTGGAACTCATCCCCCAATCATGATGCGGGAGATGGCCCATTAGTGGAACGAAGGACACCAGGGGTGACCCGTGATTGGAACTCATCCCCCAATGATGATGCGGGAGATGGCCCATTAGTGGAACGAAGGACACCAGGGGTGACCCGTGATTGGAACTCATCCCCCAATCATGATGTGGCCCATTGGTGGAATAAAGGATAACCCATGCTTAGGAGGGGATGACCTGTGTTTGGAACAAGGAATGGCCCATAATAGGAATAAGGGATGACCCATTAGTGGAATGAGGGGCGACCTTTGTTTGGACTGAGGGATAATCCTTGTTGGGAACAGGAGAGACCCATAGTTGGAATTCAGGATAACCTGTGTTTGGAATGAGACTGACCCGTGATTGGTGTGAAGGATGGCCCACAAGTGGAACATGGGGTGCCCTTTTGTTTGGAATAAGGGGTTTTACATGGGTGAAACAAGAAGTGACCCATAATTGAATTTTGGGGTGACCTATGGTTGGAGCAAGAGATGACCCATGTTTGGAACTTCAGGAGATCCTGTGATGTAAGGGATGACCCCATAGTGGACCCCATAGAGGTACCCTTTCTTTGGACTGAGGGATAACTCATGTTTGCAATGAGGGTGACACATATATGGAATTAGGGATGACCTACAATTGAAACTAGGAGAGTTTTGTTTTTCGGAATTAGGGATAACCTGTGTTTGGAATGATGGGGGGCCCATGATTGATGTGAGGGATGACTCATTATTGGTGTGAAGGATGGCCCAGTAGTGAAATAAGAGGTGACCCATGGTTGGAGCAAGGCATTACCCATGTTTAAAATGAGAGGTGACTCGTGGTTGAAATGAGGAGTGACCCATGTTTGGAACGAAGCGTGACCCATAATAGTAATTTGGGGTGACCTATGGTTGTAACAAGGGGCGACCCATCGTTGGATTGAGGGGGGACCAGTGATTGATGTTTGGGATGGCCCATTAGTAAAAAGAGAGGTAACCTTTGTTTAGAATGAGGCTGATCTGTGATTGGTTTGAAGGATGACCAATGTTTAAAACAAGTGGTGACTCATGTTTGAAATGAGGTGTGAGGGTTGACCTGTGTTTGAACAAGGGGTGACCCATGATTGGAATGAGGGGTAACCCATGACGGACTTGAGGGTTGAGACATCAGTGAAACAAGGAGTGACCACTTATGGAAATAAGAGGTGATCCGTGTTTGGAACAGAGGATATCCTATGATGGGCTGCTTTGGAAAACAACCACTTTGAATTGGAAGTCAGTCCCTTTTACAGTCGGGTCTTGTTCCATACAAGCACTGCAGCAAAAAATGTAGAGTTGGGGATAGTGGCAAATAACAATCACATGGACTTGTTCAGTCAGGGTTTTACATGCCCATAGACATCAGATGACAGACAATGATCCAGTGGATGTGGGGCAGCACAAAACAACCTGAACAAGTAAGGAAGAAAGTAGTTGGGCAGATGAGAGAATCCTTCCTGATATATACCCTTTTCCCTGACACCAGGACTGTCTGTGTGTATTATATAGTGCCGTCAATTTACGCAGCGCTTTACAGCTCCCTGTCTTGTTTTCACTGCATAGAAGATGAACCCTTGTGTAAAAGCAGTTCTGTTTTAGGGGACAACCTGGCCAAGGAGACCTCATGAGATGATTGTACTGGCCTGAATGCACAGGCTCACTTACCTCTTCCACAGAAAATTTTTTTTTTGATTGAAAAGATACTTTTATTACAGAAGTATAAAA